AATAAATAATAAAGTCATATTATTTTTAACAGTGCAATGTAGCTCAGTCTCTGAATAACAGGTCTGACAAAAGAGTTATCTAGCCAAAACTTCTCCCCTTTCCAAACGTCACTTTAACTTTAACTTTAACTTTAATTAAGTTCCATAGATCCACAGTACATGTAAGATATAGAACATGTCGATACAATAATTAAACTATGTAGAATAATACAATCGTGAAAAATGTTGGATCCAGTGGTTGGTTCCAGTCATACATCATTTTAACAATATAATCATCAAACAGGAAGTAGTCGATTGTCCAAATTTTAAAACTAAATGATATAATCTTCTATTAAGTGTAATACAGTCTTTGATTATAAAATACAAATACATATTACATGTTACATATACATATTAATACATATTGTGTTCAATGAATAAAAGAAAATTTTATGAATTCATCTATTGAAATTTCAAATCGTCTTCTGCTTAAAATACTCCTCCAATGTGTAAAATGAATAAAAATGCAGATAGCTTTTCAATTTTAATTTAAATTGTTTTATATCCTGGAACAGCTCTTTTAGTTCAGCAGGTAAGTTGTTGAAAATCTTTATCCCTACATAATGGATTCCTTTTTGGAAGATTGTCAAATGGGTCAAGGGGTAGTGCAAATCAGACTTAGTCCTAGTATTTATTTTATGTATTTCGGTGTTCACTTCAAAATGTTGTCTGTTCTCAACTACAAATAGTGCTACTAGATATATATATTGTGATTTCATTGGTAAAATTTTAAGTTCTTTAAAATATTTCCTACATGATTCTTTATTTTTTATACCCATAATATTTCTAATAGCCTTCTTTTGCATCCTAAAAATTATTTTGCTATGGCTAGTATTTCCCCAGAATATTAGTCCATAGGTCATAATCGAGTGGAAATACGAGTAGTATACCATCTTCAATGATTTCTGGGACAGGAAGGGTTTAAGTATTCTAATAGTATAACAAGCTGAGCTCAGTTTAGGTATGACTGTATCTATATGAGTTTTCCAAGAGAAGCTATTATCGAGTGTTAACCCAAGAAATTTCGTATTAAAGACATTAGCTATTTTTTTGTTCTCATGGATTATATCTATTTGAAGTAAGGAGTTAATCTTTGTTACAAATTGCATAAATTGTGTCTTCTCAGCATTTAATGATAACATATTAACAGTAAACCATTTATTTATGTCCTGAAAAACTTTATTAATAGTATTACCAAATGTTGTTGGATTAAGACTTTTAACAATTATGCTAGTATCATCTGCGAATAAGACAGCCTCAGCGTTACTTTTTATTGATTTTGGGAGATCGTTAATATAGAATAAAAAAAGCAACGGTCCTAGTATCGATCCCTGGGGAACTCCATGCTTTATAATTCCCCAATTAGAAGAGGACACATGTTGGTTATTTTCTAAAATGACTTTCTGATACCTACCTTCTAGGTAGGATTTAATTAATTTAAGTGCTATTCCTCTTATTCCATAGTACTCTAGTTTAGTTAGTAGAATGTTGTGATTAATACAATCAAATGCTTTACGTAAATCGCAAAATATACCTCCAACCATCATTTTATTATTCAGTGCCTTTAGTATTAGATCGTTCAATCTATAAGATGCTTTTACTGTTGATGCTCCTAATCTGAATCCAAACTGTTCCTTTGTTAATATATTATTAGCTTCAATGTGTTGCATGAGTCTATTGTAAATGATTTTTTCAAATACTTTGGAAAATGAGGTCAGTAATGAAATTGGCCTATAATTAATCATATTTGTACTGTCTCCTTTCTTGAATATTGGTTTCACCATAGAATATTTTAAACGACTAGGAAAGATTCCTGATCTTATTGATTTATTACAGATATAATTTAGTGGAGCACTAATATAGGGAGCACTAATTTTTAAAATCCTTGTGGAAACCTCATCATATCCATACGAGTTTTTTGTTTTCAGAGATTTAATGATTTTTTCAATTTCTCTAGTGGAAGTATATTTGAGTTTTATATTTGGGAAAGAATTTGGAAATGATTTTGTCATATAGCATTTTATATCTTCCTCATTATTAGAGCATTTTTTGTTATTACTTCTAATATCTTGGATAATTTCTTCAGCTACAGACAGAAAATATTTGTTAAACGATTCAGAAGAATTTTTGTTTTCATTTGTTTTAACTCTTTTTATTCTATTTGTTTCAGTTCTTATAATATTCCAGGTTGTTTTTATCTTATTGTCAGAATTTAGGACCTGATTATTATACATTGATCTTTTGGCTTCTACTATTACCTTTGATAATATTTTACTGTATTCCTTATAATATTCTTTTATTTTTGTATCTTTACTATCTCTACTGAGTAAATAGAGATGCCTTTTATGATTACAGGAAATCCTTATGCCAGGTGTTATCCAATTGTTTGTATTAGTTCTCTTCATTACTTTTTTTGTAGGAAAGCTTGTATAAAATATTCTTAGATAGTTGTTCAAAAATGTATTAAATAACGATTCAACATCCATATTGCTGTTACTACCGAAGATACTGTCCCAGGATTCACAGCATAGTCTATTTTTAAAATCTTCTATAGAGTATTTATGAATGTTTCTAATAGTATAGCTAAGGTTATTCACAAGATGTTGATTAATATCTTTTATTGTTATCACTTGGGCATCATGGTCAGATAACCCATTATATAGAGGACCAACATTATAGTTTGTGATTTTAGTAGTATCTAAAAATATATTATCTATTGTCGTACTAGATTGGTTTTGTGTTCTAGTGGGAAACTGTACTAGTGGTGACAAATTATAGGACTGGAGCATGGCATCAAGCTGCCTTTTTTTCTTACTATTTGCTAGGTAATCTATATTTATGTCTCCACATATAATAACTTTCATTTCTATTTTATATAATGAATTTGCATTTGTGCCACTGATCCTGTCTCGTAATCAAGAGATGTACACGAGGGCTTTCCTCTGGATAAAAGCTGTCCAAGGGGAAACGTTCGCTGTTAACAGGAGCCAGGTCTAGGGGCTGACCACTCATCCTTAATACAAGGTATAACCGAAGATTAAACTGCAGACGTATGCCCCGGTATCTACTACTGACCTACAAGAATCGCAGCTGAATGCAAGTACTTGACGTTTAGGCTTATTGGCAGTACTTATGGCACTGAAGTAGGTCTTTACGAGTAGCATGGCATATCTGTGTGGTCCACACACACACACACACACGTTGGCTATCTTTCTCTATCTGAGGCAACGCGGTTCTAACTGCTTTCACTGTTTGAGCGGCACAACTCACTCACTCGAGGATCCTTCGACTATTTCAGTAAACAAAACCCCGAAGTGTATAGCACCCCTGATATTCTGTGAGCCTAGGAGAGTTCATATGTTCATTCGACTATTTTAGTAAATATCACCCAAAAGTGTGTAGTACCCCTGATATTCTGTGAGCCAAGGATAGTTTATATATTTGTTCTGCTATTTTAATAAACAAAACTCCGAAGTGTATAACACCCCTGATATTCTGTGAGCTGAGTATACTTCAGGATGTGATCCTAGAAACTGCGTCACCTTTAAAAAAACTTTCTTCTTCTCTCGCCCTCCTCCTGTGTCCCAGCCTCCCGAACATGTGAGATCTCCTACAGCTGCAGAACTCTGTAACTCAATATACTCAGATATTAACAAATATTTACGATTAATAGCGTAAGATTTCGTGTTTGTGGCACAGCATGTACGGCCAAATGCTCGCGTCTCATTCTCGAGGCCCGGTTAATATAAAAAGAAAACAGGTGATGTTCGTGAAAGACGACATGAAACAGGTTTCCCACAAAGCCTCTTCCGTTTTCCTTGTTAATTATTATATAACCATTGCTTCATAGTCCTCTATCACCGCCTCATGATGTGTACGATAGCTCTGAGAAGGCAGTACATTGTCATATCCCAGATCATTAATTTCGGGTCCACATCTCTGACCCGACACTTGGTTGGTTACAGAATAAGAAAGTATGTAACTGATACAAGCTACCTGCATAAGTGTTATCCAATAGAATTATACTTTTCCGGCTACAGATGGCATACAATGTTAAACACATTAATTAAACTAACTCCGTAGAACCGAGTCCTCCTTGAGCAGCTGCCAGTCTCTCAACTGCTCAAGAATTTTCCAACATTTTATTGAATCCCGAATATTTATTACCGTGCTCGCAATAGCCCACCACTGGACTACGTCCCGAGATATATGAATGTAGTTCATACCACCCAATTCTGTTTCTCAAAGATACATCTTAATATCATCCTTTCATTTACGTCAAGATCTTCCAAGTTGTCTCTTTCGTTCAGCATTTCAAGCAAATTCCTATGTACCGTCGTCACATGAACAAATTTTGCATGCACATTGTATCTAGTAGGCGATACTGCCTTGTTTTTTCTCTTTACTTATCTAAAAATTAAGGTTCAGTTTCTAAGAAACTTCATGTTCACTGCTTTTCCTCATTTCCTGTAATTTACCACTTAATTATTGCCCATTTGATCTTTGTTTATTTGGAGACGAAACAAACCTCAACACCCCATACGCCTTCATGGCGTAGTGCTTAATTAGTTAAACACAGGAACAGCTGTACTTCTATTATTATTCATGTAAAGTCAGTATAAACTGCGAGGTTCAGGCCTTCTGGTCTATTCCGATCTTCGGACTGGGCGAACTGATCCTACCAGCTCTAAAATGGCTGACTTTCCTCGCTTCTTCCTTTAAGATGAGAGTCATGTAGTAGTATTCATACAAATGTGAAAGAAAAGTGACGTAGCTAAGTTTCCCATACCTGTTGTTATGAAAAATCCTGTATTATGGGATAAAGCGCCGTGTAGTCTGCTAAAGTGAATCTAATACACGGTGCTATATCCAGACAAGAGAACTCTTAATACTAATGAATTTCGAAATTCGTGCTTGTTACTGGAGCGGAGGAGCATGTAGCATCAAATGTCGTGTTGCAGGCGTGCAAATAAAGGATCTGCGGGTGCCACCTTCCGTGCGAAACGGCAGCCGGCCAGCGCTTCTGGACTGCGAGTACACGCTGAAGCCGGAGGAACTGGCCGCAGACAAGTACTCGGGCCTTGTGGTGAAGTGGTACTTCAAAAACAGTCCGAGTCCGGTGTACCAGTGGATCCCGGGACAGAAGCCGCAGGACCTGGGCATTCTCAAGGGCAAGCTGGACCTGAGTCACCGTGCCTCAGACCACGGAGCCACAATGCACCGCGCTCTCTACATCACAAACCCCACGACCGAACTTTCGGGAGAATACAAGTGCTTCGTGTCCACCTTCGACGACGAGGATTTCATGACCAAGAAGATGGTCGTCTTCGGTAAGGAATTTCGGATGAATTACAGTTTATAATATCATTCTGAGCTTCTATTTTTAAGATAATATGGAATGAAAATAGACGAAATTGACGAGAAATTCAGAATGGGCAGTAATCCGCGAGAGAAACTCACAGGTACTTCCAGGTTATGTTACCGATACAAGGTCTAATCGATAATATAGATTTTCCGCTTCTTTTCTGATGTAAGGCTTGCAACATATGCTTACAAATCATCTCTAATGTATATTGCTTTGGGGGCATACAGGCATTAAAGCAATTCCCCGTCAGTCATGGAGATTACATTCCTGAAATACCAGTGTCCTAAAGGAAACGTGATCGGTCTTCGCTTTCACCAAAACTCAACTTCCTTCACATAACATTAATAACGTTAATATCGTGACAACATTAATATTAATAAGGGAGCTAGACTTCTGTTTTGGACGCCATTGAAGCAATACATTAAGCAAAAGCGGATCTCTTATTCCGTAAGGCATCGAGTGTTCGTGTGAATACAAATATTAACTATTCTGGAAATGTACAGAACATTTCTATGTCGTCTTTTACAGGCTATATGAGAAGTTTCACCATCTTTATATACCACAGAAGTTCACATAATATTTGTAAAATATGAAAATGATTTCTGGTGGTTTATGATTTATAAAGCACAGGAAAATTATATTTATTTTCCTATATAAAGTAATTTTTTTAATTGGTGAATATGACAGATAAAATATAGCCAACTAACGTCAGGAAAATATCTCTCATAACGAATTTCACTACAATTACATTAACAGGTTAACACAAAAGTACGATATAAGTCTCTACATGGCCTTAAGTAAAGCGAGATTTTTCACGGGTGTGTATTACTGAAAATCGGAATTACATTCACGCTGCTTGTGAATGTATCAGCACCAAGAATAAATGTTTATGAATTTACACAGCCCCATACTAAATTCTTAGTAGGCGTATTCATAAGCACAGAACTGTACGTTTTGTTTATGCAGCTAATCTGACCTACAGGAACAGAATGTTGAAGTGTTGAAGTACGTTGAAGTAAAACATATAATAAATTTTTCTAACTTTTGTCGCCGATCACGGTGGCTGCGCGGTATAAAGCATCAACTGTTGTGTCTAGCTCGAGCGCTGTGATCGTGGGTTCGACTTCCACTCAAAGGCATGGATATCTGAGTGTGCGTTTATTCTGTGTTTGTGTTGTCCTGTGTGTAGGTAGCAGTCTTGCGACTACCTGGTCACTCATACAAGGAGTCCTACACTTCGTGTAAATAAGATTACGAAACTGAAGATGATGCTAGGGTCAAACAAAGGGCTGTAGAGCCAATGATGAATTAACGAGTTAATAATTTTTGCTTCAGAATCGACCAATCCGATCATGGCGTGTCATGGCCTTCCTTACATTTCCGCACCATTCCCCGCGTAGCACCTTGATGCTATATTCCTATATCGTAGGAAGAGGAATTTTGAACTCTCAAGGCAAAGAAATGGTTGAAATGAATTTATTGAATGCCCTCCTTGTGACACCAATATATCCTTCCTTACGGGGATTTGTCAGAGGGGAGTGTTTCTGTCACATTTTCCAAGAAATGTGAAGGAACTGCGGAATAAGATTACCGAAGCCATCACAGTCGTCATGTCTGACATGTTAAATCGAGTGTTTCAAGAGACTGCATATAGATGGGTTGTCTCCCCAGTTTCACTTAAAGGCCACAAGGAAATGCAGAAAATGAAAGTGCTTTGTCTGGCTATATTCCTTATAATACAACGATATGTAATTGTAGAGATAACAAGTCCAACACCACCAACAGAGAAAACCTATACCTTATTTCAACTAAGGATGAGAATTAACCACTAAAAATATTCACAATAAAACATGTTCATAAGTTTAATATTTTAACTTTTTAATGTTTCATATTTTCGATATACTGTTTAATATTTTAAGATTTTTAATAAGTTTTAAATCCTGTTTAATACATTTTAAACCAGTTTAGATTCAGTATAGAACCATTTAAACTGTGCTTATAAAGGTGATTAGTGAAAGTGAGAGAAGCACGCCATATTTTTTTTATTTTATTCATAACTTACGAGATAAACACAACATATGGATCCATACGAAGACACAACTCAGTAGTGTAAACCTTGTTAATATATCGCCTGATGATAGCCCCATGAGCTGGAACATGTTGCGATGCTCTAAGACCAAAGAACTCAGTTACGCACAGTGGAATGTGAGTGAGTTATCTGGTGATCCTTGTGTTTGACAGGAAAAACAAAACTCATATATATATATATATTCCTTGGCACTACAGCCCCAGTGAGCCTAGGCCTACCTCCATGAACTCCGTTCACTTCGTTTTTCTAGATCTTACACATATGGTAGGACCCCTTGGGCGGGTGATCAGCTCGTCGCNTGAGATCGAATCCCGACGAGGTCATTGAATTTTTCAATTTACCCAATCCTTCCAGCAGCACTATGGCCCTGGGGTCGACTCAGCTTTTAATAGAAATTAGTACCAAAAACATTCTTGGTTTATTCCCGGGAGTGAAGGGTGGCTGGCGCATAAGGCTGACAACCTTACCGCCATCTGTGAGCCAAATGTCTAGATTATGTGAGAGCCTTAACATCTCACAACCCTATGGGCCTCCAAGGTCTGTTATAGGGATACCTTTACTTTACTTATCGGGGGATGTCGCTGTTATCAACTTCAAACAAAATTTTGTCCAATATTCTCTCTCAAGGTTAAGTCCATATGCAGACGAAATTATTGGGAATCATCACTGTGGGTTTCGGCATAGTAGATCAACTACAGATCAGATCTTTTGCTGTCGTCAGATATTGGAGAAAAAATGGGAGTACGATGAGACAGTACATCAGCTATTCATAGCCTTCAAGAAAGCCTATGATTCAGTTAGGAGGAAAGTATTGTACAATGATCTATTGAGTTTGGGATACCCATGAAATTAGTTAGATTGATTAAAATGTGTTTAAACGAAACGTATAATAAAGTTTGTGTAGGTAAATATTTGTCTGATAAATTTCCTATCCAGGTTGGTCTAAAACAAGGAGATGCTTTATCACCACTCCTTTTCAACTTTGCTTTAGAATATGCCATTAGGAAAGTCCAACAAAACCAGATGGGACTGAAATTAAACATCAGCTGTTGGTCTACGCTGATGATGTGAATCTACTGGGTGATAATCTAGATACCATAAAGAAAAACACACAAACTTTAATCGACGCAACTAAAGAGGTTGTTCTAGAAGTATACACAGAGGAAACTAAGTATATGTTACTGTCTCGTCAACAATATGCAGGGTAAAATCATGACATAAAGATAGGAAACAGATGTTTTGAAAATGTGACACAATTCAGATATTTTGGAACAACGATAACAGATCGAACCCTGATTCAGGAGGAAATTAAGAGGAGATTGAAGTCGGGTAATGCTTGCTACCATTAGGTCCAGAATATTTTGTCTTTTCTTCTGCTGTCCAAAAACATAAAAATTAGACTATACAAAACTATATTTTTTTCTGTGGTTCTGTATGGGTGTAAAGCTTGGTCTCTGACATTAAGGGAAGAACACAGATTGAGGGTGTTTGAGAACAGTGAGTTGAGGAGAATATTTGGGCAGAAGAGAGATGAAGTGACAGGAGGTTGGAGAAAACTGCGTAATGAGCAGCTTCATAATTTGTATTCTTCTCCAAATATAATTAGAATGATCAAGTCAAGGCGGATGAGGTGGGCATGGCATGTAGCACGACTGGAGGAACGCGTATAGGATATTAGTGGGAAAGCATGAAGGAAAGAGACCACTGGGAAGACAAAGGCGTAGGTGGATGGACCTTAGAGAGATAGGATAGTATGATATGGATTGGATAGATCTGGCTCAGGATAGGGACATGTGGAAGGCTCTTGTGAACACGGTAGTGAACCTTCGGGTTCCATAAAATGCTGGACAATTCTTGAGTAGCTGCAAGAATTGCATTTCCTCAAGAAGGGTTCAGCTCTATGAGTGAGTGGTTCTTCTCATAATTTCATCACGTATTGTTACAGATGTTTCAAAATCTTTTTTTTTTTTTTATTTCCAAAATGATTTATCATCTATTGATCAAGACCTAGTTGTATTATATGATAATATTCAGTGGATCCTCCGTTAGTATATATAGAGGCCTCCCTTTGTTGATCCTGGAAGAGACGGCCTTCAGTTATCGAATACTGAACAAGCGGTCCCAGACAGGCGTAACAAGGGCTCTTCAGTTAGACGTCTTGGTTCTAACCTACCAAATTCTAACAAAATAAAATAAAAGAAAACCCAGCCAGTTAGAAAATGTTATAGGCGAAATAAAGTAAGCAGGTTATAACGGTGTAGATTGGATTCACTCCATTCACTATAATTTTCAGCTGCGGCCTCATTTGAATACAATAGCGAATCTTTGGGTTCCATAAAAGAACGGTCATATCTTTATGGCCTGAGATATTACTTTGTTCTCAATAAGTACTCTGATCCATTGACTGTGTTTGCTAGTTCATTATATCAAGACGTTGTTGCCTACTTATTTTCATGTTATTTCCATCTGAAGTTTGATTTTATTGGGAATTGTGTCTGAAATCCTCGCAGCTCATCTCCCTCCACCCTTCATAGCATAACGTTAATTATTTTTCCTCACTGTCTTTGAAGGAGCTTTGTGAAAGGAACAGCGAAGTATGACAATGGTATGAAGAGTGTGATATGAGCATCGGTTGTGTTTAGCCAAGAGCGTCGCGACGGAAGCAACTGATCGGTCCCTTGCGTTCAGCGGCGGTTAGCAAAACTGGCACGTTCTACGCCCAAGTTTGCAGAGGAAATTAACCGTCTATAGATCCATCTTGTTTGACCAGCTGTACTACACACTGTTACCAACTTTGTTTGCTTTTTTTATTAATCCACACCCTTTTCTATTCCCGCATCCTTCATCCTTTGACTGCTTTTTGTTTTCACATTCAT